ACAGCTGTGTTCCTTAGGCTGTAATAAAATAGCCACCTCAACCCTGGCTGCCCAGCAGACTTCCCTGGGAGTAGAGACAGGATTTCTAGGGGTGAGGTCCTGAGTCTGTTTTTACAAAGCCTCACATTTGATTCCAAGACCATGCCCCCAACACAGCCCAGTGTTCCCAGGGACAGAAGTGCCCAGAGAGAGCCACTGCCAGGACACGCAGTGGAATGACATGGGAACCCGCAGGGTTGGTGGGAGCAGCAACAATGCGAAGGAGCCTGAGTGGCTTCTATGATCTCGGGAAACCGGAAAAGCACACCTGTGAGAGGGGGTGAGTAGTGTGAGGAATGCGTGGAAGGTGAACATGCCACCAGAAAGGCCCCCAGTGGTGTACAGGGCCCGGGCCGGCAGGCAGTAAATCTGCAGAGTGGCCCATCTGAATTAATTTAGAATTATCTTGGTTTTTATTATTACCTGAATTTGTTTTTCATTATAATTAACATACAGTATATAACATACATTTCAGGTGTACAACATAGTGAATCAACATTTATACACTTTACAAAGCGATCACCACACTAAGTCTAGTACCTACCGTCACCAAATAGTCATTACAATGCTGCTGACTCTCTTCCCTATGCTGTACTTTACACCCTGTGACTTAACTGGCAGAATGAACTTTTCCAGCACAAGTGGGGACGGTGCATGCATGGTGGGCCAACCGAGGGCTGGTGTGCTGTTTGCGAGATGGATGGCAAGCTAGATGGTGGCAGGAGAGCAGCTGGGTCAAGCTGATGTGGGACGAAGGGGTGTGGTTGCACTGTATGACCTCAGGGGCTTAGGGAAGGGAGCAGTGGCTGTGGGGAGCTGACTGGGGAAAGGAGGTGAGACCCAAAGGCCAGCAGGCTCGTCAGTGTGAGTCTCCTGCAGCTGCTGTAACAAGTCACCACACATTTTGTAGATTAAAACCACACACATTTATTCTCTGACAGTTCTGAGGCTAGGAGTCCACACAGGCCTCTAGGAGCTAAACCCAGGCATGAGCAGGGCTGGTCCTTCTGGAGGCCCCTGGGAGAACAGTTTCCAGCATTTTCCAGCTTCTAGAAGCACAATGTCCCTGGCTCATGGCCCCTCCTCCATCATCACAGCCAGCAGTGCAGCCTCTTCCATCTCCCTGACTCTGAGCCTCCTGCCTCCCTCTTATGAGGACCCTGTGATGACACTGGGCCTCCCTGTAATCCAGGGTCGTCCCCATCTCAGGGGCCTTGACTTAATCCTATCTGTAAAGTCCCTGTATCTCGTGAGGTACACATCCACAGGTCCCAGGACTAGGATGGGGACATCCTTGGGGGTCATTATTTAGCTGACAAGTCAGATCACCCAGGATCTGGAGGGAAACTAAGACCAGGAGGTAGGAGGCCACGGACCCCATGGCCACAGCAGAGAGACCAGGGAATGGAGAAGCCAGCCCCACCCTTGTCCTCAAGGGGACAGGCAGCCCATCTAGAGGACCAGGCAGGTCCAGAGTGCCAGTCCCAACCCCAGGGCCCTGGACAACAGGAAACATCAGCCCCAGGAGGGAAAACAGAAGGCTCCAGTGTCAGCATGGGCTTTGGAGATTGGTGACAAGGAGTGAGGTTAACAGCTCAATCCAGGGCCTCCCAGTAGTAGCTGACCCCAGGATGGGGTTAAATGTGCCTGGATATTGTTGGGGACAACTCCAGGGAGAGGAAATGGGAGGGAGCTGGGAGAGAATTGGGCGGGTCTGGCCCTGAGTGAAGGGCCAGGGAGGAAAGGCTGGATGGAAGAGGCTAGAAAGTTTAGCAAGGCGGCTCTGTGCGCTGTTCAGCTGGGAGTGGGCAGCGGCAGCATGGCCTTTGGAGCACAAGGTGATGGATTGCAGAGCCCCGCAGCTCAGCCCCTAGAGATGCCAGGTTGGGGGCTTACCAAGAGGCACAGAGAGGGGCCTCGACAGCCTCGGGAAGTGCAGGGAGCTTCCAGGAGCGAGGTCTAAATTGAGTATGAAAGCAAAGGCAAAGGAGGGTGTCCAGTCACTGGATACTCAGCACCAGGCAGGGGCAGCAGATGTCCACACTTATAACGCTTCCCGGAACCTAAATACCAACAGGTGTGTGGAGAGTTTGTGCCCAATGGAGTGAACTGCGGCCCCAGACAGCAAACAACTGGAAGCACTTAAATGCCCACCTGAAGGGACTGGCTAAATGACCTATGAACAAAGCCTCCCTACACTCACATGGAAAGCTGTCAGTGAGACTGGCAAGTCCAACAGTCTTAACCTACACTCAGAATCACCAGTGATTTTTACGCACAGACAACAATCTTGAAGTATAGACACCAAACTGATTCACAGGGAGAGGTACTGTCCCTTTTAATTTAATAAACATTGAGCTTATTACAAAAAGTTTTGGGAATAGTTAGATTAAAAGAAAAAGTCTCCCCCCAAATATGAAAAGTGCCTGTGAGAATGAAATATTGAGTTACTTGGGATTTCTCCTAGTCGTATCCAACTTTTAGAAGCAAGGGTATTCCCCAGTGGATTTCCCCCTATGTGCCAACACTATCCTTGCTGTATCTTAAGGACAATAAATACAAGCACCTCATAAATGTGTGAACTAGGCCACTATTTTTCAAACTTTGGGGACTCATTTTAAGAAATATGCTTTACATGGTAACCCAATGCACACACACAGGTACACTTAGTATCCTAAGCCAAAGAAAAAGTTTACCAAGAAACAAGAGTTACTCTACATGCTGCTTACGGTCTGGGCTTTTCTTTCTTTTTTTTTTTTTAACATAACCCACTATTGGTTCACAGGCTGAGATTTGGCAATAGCAAGGTAGACAACTTCCTAGGGCGCTCTGGCACTCATAGAAGCCTGCATTACATCACTCACTGTACCCTCATAAGCACTCTGTGAGGAGGAGAGGCAGCAGCAGTCACTCCCACTTGACAGGTGAGGAAACCCTTCAGGGGCTCTCCCAAGGTCACCCAGTTAAACAGGCCCAAGAACTTAGACTCAGGTCTCCTACTAAACTTCACATATATAACTTCTACATATAACTTCCACTAAATCACCCTGCCTTTCCACATGGCTTTTAAAGTCACCGCTAAACCTCATTTCTATGATACCACACAGATGTTTTAAGCTAAAATCTATCATAAAAAGTAAACTTTGTGGGGGCGGAGGGGACTGTACTGCTGCAGAAAAAGCATATTGTCAGTAGTCTCTGATGGGCTGTGGTGGGGTGGGAGGGAAGAGCCTATTTTAGAGAGTGGGGGAACTAGCAGAATAAGTCATTGGTTGCACTGCCACAGGGACAGAGGAAAGTCGAGTTTCGAGATCGTGACAATCGAATACAAAACCACCAAAAGGCCAAGGACAGGGTCCATGCAGAAACCTGACTTTTGAGGACTTCCAGCACCAGCCTGGCCCTGTGCTACTTAAAAAATGCTTCCACCATCAATACACCCATTTAATGGGCCCCAAGCCTGTGGGAAAGACGTCATCAGTTCCCACCAATTCCAAATGAAGAAACCAAGAGTGATAATGGACACACCCTCCTAAAAAATGAGGTGCCCTAACCAGAGTGTGTTTCTCTGCTGGAAAGACCCAGTGGCCTGTCTTCAGAATCTAGAACAGGCTGCTCAGTGAGGAAAATCAGGGAGGTTAACCAGTGCAAACAAAGAACTCTATGGGTACAAATTAAATTTGCTTAGCCACTGCTCAGTAATAAATGCCAATCAGCTACTCTTTTATCTCAGAAAGAAAATGACAATCAGGAGAAGAGTTAGCTGCATACTGTAACGATTGCCATTAGGGAGAGCTTCAACATGAGGCAAAACCCAGGAAAGGGAAGAGTGATGGAAATCAGCAAAAATAACCTAATCACATCTCAGTGAAGTCACACCTATTCTGAAAAAGTGCTGCAGAGAGGCAGGAACTCAGACTCCCAGCAGAGGGACCTGGGCTGAGGGTGCCTATGCCTCCCAGCAAATTCAGCTTCCTTGCACCTTCCATTCTGTAAAGCCCGACTTCCCTGGGTGCCATTGTGAGGAGGGCGTTAGCCACTGGCAGTGGGACCTGCACAGTACCAAACAACTGCTCTCCTCAGGGCAGCCTCTCTCTAAGCATCTTGTGAAGCGGGGAATTTCTTTAATGTCCCACTGTATAAGGGATAGCTTGAGCCTCTTCCATGAAGCCAAAAGTCTGGTGGCTATTAACTGTTCCCATTCTTCCTAAATCTAGGTCACAGGTTGGGGAGAGGAGAGAAAGGAAGGAAATGGTGCCCACTGTTACAATTTTACTTCTGGAAAACCTTTTCCTCATCCTGGCTTTTGGGTTTCTAGTTGAAGTCAGCTTCCCCATTCCAGAACTCCTTGGCAGCTTTATTATTTTGGCCAGGGACACTCCTTGCCTCCCCTCCCTCTCTAAGAGGGGCGGCCCCACCTTCCCAGGGACGTGTCCATGAGGCAAGGACCAGTTCCGGGCCAGGCCCCAGGGAGCAACCTGGACACGCACTAACCCCATAAGGGGTTCCTCTGGGGGCGGCCTGCGGACAGGAGGGTCCCCCAACTAGGAGTCCAGGAGCTTAGGGAGAGGCCGGGAACCCTATATTTTGAACAGGTGATCCAAAAACACAAAGTTGGAAGGCCGCCGCTCGAGGGGACCTACGAAGTCCCTTCCGGAGTCACCCGCAGGGAGGGGGAGGCGGGTCCCCATTGCCGAGAGTCAAGGAAGCAAACAGAAACATTGGGGGGTCAGGAAGGGGCCCGAGAACCGCGGCTTGGAGGGCCTTCGGGGTCCCGTCTGGGGCCGCCTTCGGCCCACAGGGGTACACTGAGGCTCGGAGAGAGGGGTGTGCATCGCCCAGACCGCGGGCAGGCGGGGCTCGAGCCCAGAGCGGGACCTCTGGGGCGAGCTGCAGGCCAGGATCGAGGATGGGGGTCGCGGGCAGAGCCAGGCCATCCCCGCGCGGCGCTTCGAGCTCACCTCGTCCTCCTTGTGGTTGCGGATGCCGCGCACCAGGTCCTGCAGGTTCTTGTCAAACATGCGGTCGATGCTGCCCTTGACCATCTTGAGGGCCATCGTGGCGGCCGCCGGCGGGCTCAGCCCCGGAAGGCCCGCAGGTGGGTGCCGTGCAGGGGTCTGGGGGCCGCGCCTACCGCCCGCGAAACGCTGCCTGCCGCCGCGGCGGGACGGGCTCCCAGGCCAGAACAGCGGCTGTCCGCGAGGGAAAGGCGGAGGCGGAGGTGGAGGCGGAGGCGGCGGCGGCAGCGGCGGCGGCGGGCGGAACCCGCTAGGCAACCCGCACTCCCCTCCCCTCCCTTGCTAATGGCGGACAAGATGGCGACCGGTCAGCTGACAGCGGGCGCCGCGGCCGCCCGCCCTCCCAGAAGCCCCGCCTCCCACTAAGCCCCGTTCCGATTTCCGGACACCACATTTTCTTGACAACGCAAGGCCTCCCAGTGGAAATGCGGACAACCCCCTCCGCGACCACGCGGCCCCGCCTGCTCCTTCTCAGGCCTCTTCCCTCTCATTGGTCAGTGTCCTTCGAAGCTCCACTCATTTCCTCTTTCAGGTTCTTGCATGTTCTAACCATGCCGCCCTAGGAGAAATCTCCCAGTCCTCCCCTCAGTTAATTGACAAGTGGGCGTGGCCTGTTGTGGGCGGGGTGCCCACGTGGAGCTCTGGCAAGTTCCTGAAGAAGAATCCAGCTCCGCCTTTTCTAATTCTAAAAGCTGACGCTGCTTGAGAACCTTAAAATCTACACTGCAGAAAACTTCCTGCGTCTCTTGCAAGTCTCACAAAAGCCTGTGATATGAGCATGACAAGGATAACCATGGCCCGGAGCTAGGACTCCAACGCAGTCATTCATTCAACATTTATTCCAGGACCTGCTATGTGTGCCAGTCATGGTAGCGACCCCTGGACACACAGCAGTGAAATGAGATACCTGCGGTGCTTGCCCTCCGGATACACCAAGAAAGAAACAAAGCAAGCCACGAAAATTGGGATAAGCCATTTGCAATACATATATTTGACTAAGGACTTATAGCCATAATATGGCTCAACAAGCAGAAAATAAAGCAGAACAAGACAAAATTTCCTACAAATCTTGAAGAAAAAAACCCCACTTAAAACATGACAAAACACAAACATGCACTTCACAAAAGAAGACATCTACATAGCCAATGGGTATGTGCAATGGATATAATGCTCCATCTCGTTAGTCATCAGGGAACGATATATTTAAACCACAATATGATATATCTCTTTACCCCTAGGAGAATGGTTAAAATTAGAAAGACTGATGACATCAAGTGTTGCAAGGATGTGGAGCAACTGGAACGCTCCTCTTTTATGCTTCTGGTAGAATTGCAAAACTACACAGCTAAATTAGAAACTGGTCTGGCTGTTTTTTAAAGCTAACATATGCATATCCCATGACCCAGCAATTCCACTACTGTTCCTAACAAGAATGTATTAACATATCTACCAAAGATTTGGACAAGAATATTCAAAGTAGTTGTGTTTATATTGGCCAAAAATCCAAAATAACCCAAATGTCCATGAACAGAAATGGATAAATAACTTGTGACAATTTCACACAATGGAATACTATGCAGCAATGAAAAAAACAAGTTAGTAATACACAAAACAAAATGGATGAATTATACCGACACAATGTTGAACATAATAAGCCAAACACACAAATTGTACAAAGTATGATTCTATTGATGTGAAGTTCAATTACAGGTGAAACTAATCTAAAATGATAGAATTAAATATTAAGAATGATTAAGATTTTTAAAATAAACAATTCATACCAGAAGCCAATGGAATAATTTTTTTTAAAAAGCTTTTATTGGGGAATTGGGGGAGGGAACAGTGTTGGGGAATCGGGAAAGGGGAACAGGCAAGTTGCTGTCCTTTTTTGTTTTTCAGTCTAGTTGTGAAAGACACCGCTTCACTGGCCCATGTTGGTATTGTGATCATTGCGCTCTTCCCGGCTGAGGCAGATCAGTCGCTGGCCATCGGACAGCAGCTCACGGCGGCTCACGGCAGCTCATGGCAGCTCAAGCTGGCTGCCAGCCACTCAAGTTGGCTGCCAGCCACTCATGGTAGCTTATGGCAGCCCACTGCAGTCCCGCTGCAGCCTACGCCGTCGCCGGTGACTCACAGCAGCCCAGCTCCAGGTCGAGCTGTTGTTCACCATCTTAGCAGTAGAGGGTTCAGCGTCACTGGCCTATGTGGGATCCGAACCGGCGACCCTGCTGCTCAGAGCTAGCACTCCCAAATGAGCTCTTAACCAATGAGCCAGTCAACTGGCCCTGGAATAATATTTTTAAAGTACCAAAACAAACAAAATAAAACCCTTATAATTCTATACCGAGCAACAATATATTTCAAAGATGAAGGCAAAATACATATTTTCAGACTAATAAAAGCTTACAGAATTTATGAGCAGTAGACCTACATTAAGAAAAATGTTAAAGAATATTCTTTGGGGTCTGGCCAAGTGGCGCATTGGTTAGGAGTTGGCTTGGGAAGCCAGCTCTGAGTAGCAGGGCACCAGTTCGGATCCCACATTGAGGGCCAGTGATGCTGTGCCCTCTACAGCTAAGATGGTGAACAACAGCTCGACCTAGAGCTGGGCAGCCGAGAGTCGCCGGCGATGGCGTAGGCTGCAGTGGGGCTGGCCGGCAGCGGGCATGAGCTTTTGTGAGCTGCTGTGAACTGCCATGAGCAGCTGTTTAATGGCCGGCGAGTGACTGCCTCACCTGGGAAGAGCGCAATGAAAATACCAACATGGGCCAGTGAAGCGACGTCCTCCACAACTAGACTGAAGAACAAAAGGACAGCAACTTGTTTGTTCTCCTTCCCCGATTCCCCAATACTATTCCACTCCCCCAATTTTCCAATAAAATATAAAAAAAGAAAAAAAGAATATTCTTTGGGACACAAGGAAAATGATGCCAAACATAGACTTGGATCTATGAGAAAGAAAGAAGAGCACAAGAAATGTTTAAAATGTGGAAAACAAAATGTATAAAGCACTCATTTAACTCAACACAAAAAAAACAAACACCCAATTAAAAAATGGGCAGAGAATATGAAGAAGCATTTCTCTAAAGAGGACATACAGATGGCCAACAGGCATGTGAAAAAATGTTCAACCTCACTAATCATTAGAGAAATGCAGATAAAAACCACAATGAGATACCACCTCACTCCGGTCAGAATGGCTATCATCGATAAATCAACAAATAACAAGTGCTGGCGAGGTTGTGGAGAAAAGGGAACCCGGGTGCACTGTTGGTGGGACTGCAGATTGGTGCAGCCACTATGGAAATCAGTATGGAGGGATCTAAAAAACCTGGAAATGGAACTACCGTATGACCCAGCAATTCCACTCTTGGGTATCTATCCAGAGAAACCCATGAAGCTAATTTGAAAACATATATGCAACCCTGTGTTTATTGCAGCGCTATTTACAACAGCCAAGACTTGCAAACAACTGAAATGCCCATCAGTAGACGACTGGATTAAGAAACTGTGGTACATTTATACAACGGAGTATTACTCCGCTATAAAGAAGAATGAAATCGTACCATTTGCAACGATACGGATGGACCTAGAGACTATTATGTTAAGTGAAATAAGTCAGTCAGAGAAAGACAAATATATGATCTCACTTATATGTGGAATCTAAAAAACTGAATGAACGGGCAAAGTAAACAGAAATAGTCTCAGAGATATAGGGGCACAACTGATGATTGCTAGTTGGGAGGGGGGTGGGGATGAGGGAGAAAGGGAAAGGGATTATAAATAGGTAACTACAATATTGCTACAGGGATATGAAAAACAGTTCGGGGAATATAATTAACAATGTTGTAAATATTTTGTAGGGTGTCAGATGGTCACATGTCTTGTTAAGGAGAACACTTCATGGATGGGGTAGAGGTTTGATCACTGCATTGTACACCTGAAGCTGATGTTGTATAATATTGTATGTCAACCATAATTGAATATATATATATATATATATATATATATATATATAGTCACAGGACGTGGAGTATAGTGTGGGAGTGGAGTCAAGGGAATTTTAATAGATATGTATGATATGGGAGGGGAGTGGGGCAGTGGATTGGGGGAGGGGGCTTGTCACTTTGAGGGGTAAAAAGTATAACTATTGCACTGTGTTGTACAGCTGAAACTAATTTTTTTTTAAAGATTTTTATTGGGGAGTTGGGGGGATGGGAACCATGCTGGGGAATTGGGGGAAGGGGAACAGACAAGTTGCTGTCCTTTTGTTCTTCAGTCTAGCTGTGGAGGACGTTGCTTCACTGGCCCAAGTTAGCACTATCATTGCGCTCTTCCCGGGCGAGGCAGATCAGTCACTGGCTTCTGGACGGCTGCTCACTTCGGCTGCTGGCCGCTCACGCTGGCTGCTGGCTACATACGCTAGCCCATGGCAACCCACTGCCACAGGGGCTGCAGCCTACGCCGTCGCCAGCAACTCACAGCAGCCCAGCTCCAGGTTGAGCTGTTGTTCAGCATCTTAGCTGTGGAGAGCAGTGTCACTGGCCCTCATATGTGGGATCCGAACCGGGGCCCTCTGGTGTCCCAAGCCAGTTCTTAACCATCGCGCCACTCGGCCGGACCCTGAAACTAATTTTTTAAAAAATGTTTATTTCACTATAAAATATATAAATAAATAAGCAAATAAATAAATAAAATTGTGGAAAATTTAATTATTTCTTAATTTATGAAAATAGTAATTCACTTTTTAAAACAAAAATAACAATAAAGTTGGGCTGGCCAAGTGGCTCATTTAGTTAAGAGTTAGCTTAAGAGCATGAGCTCTGAGCAGCAGGGCTGCCAGTTTGATTCCCACATGGGCCAGTGATGCTGCACCTGAGCTGAGCTGCTGCTGCTGAGCTGCCAACAGGTAGCAGGATGACTCAGCTGGTGAGAGCCTGTGCTCCTAACAACAAGACTGCCTGTTTGATGGTGGACTACACCCGCCCACAACTAAGACTGAACTTGGCACCTTGAGCTCAGCTGCTATCCAGATGGCTCAGTGGATAGAGTGTGCGCTCTTAACAACAAGGCTGCTGGTTCGACTCCCGTATGGGATGGTGGCTACGCCCACCCGCAACTAAGATTGTAACACAGCACCTTGAGCTTAGAGGCCATGTGCTGCTGATGGGCAGTCAGATGGCGACTGGCACCCTCCACAACTAAGACTGAAGAACAAGGGCCGTTCTAGTGGTACGTTGGTTAAGAGCTGGGTTGGGAGGCCA